AATGGAACAAACCAAAGCTGGAGATTGTGTTAATAAAATGATTTCAAAAAAAAAAGAGTCATTAAAAGCGGGTCACGTGAGATGACGTAGTAGCATCGTCACGTATGTGGTATTTTTTATATCACTAAGGGACCAAAACCCTGTGATAAGATTCAATTATACATTTCTACGTCTTGTTCGAGGCTTAGACTAAATGTTGTCTTGCAAACCCCAAAATACTGTCTGTAGAAACACTACCCTAATTATCGGTAGCGTTCTCAATTGTTTTTCTTGTTCAGTGTTATTAACAGAAAATATATATCTCTCCTTAACGTGTTAAACTGTTTACCATCAGTATTTGAGTGGTTAATCTCGAGATACAAGTATATATATATGTTATACATAACGTTAATACCTGTTCTACAGATTCACAACCTGTAGTACGGAGACTGGTTCTTTTTCATATATCATGAACATTCAATGAAATACCTGTTCTATAGATTCACAACTTGTAGTACGGAGACTGGTTCTTTTTCATATATCATGAACATTCAATGAAATACCTGTTCTATAGATTCACAACTTGTAGTACGGAGACTGGTTCTTTTTCATATATCATGAACATTCAATGAAATACCTGTTCTATAGATTCACAGTTTCTGTTTTGCAACGAGATTTTTGTACGTTAATTACCTTATTTTGTACGCTGTGGTTTTAGTGAAAATCTGTTTTGTTTTTACAAACAAAAATTGTGGTTTTTGATATAAAATAAAAATGTTTTAGATAATTTCTCTTTTTGTACGCTTGGGTTTTGAAATAAATAAATACCAGTTTGGATAAAACCCTTCTTGTGTCGTGTCTCTACATCAAGTTTAGTAGGACAGGTCGACTAGTTCGCTTGGGTTTTGAAATAAATAAATACCAGTTTGGATAAAACCCTTCTTGTGTCGTGTCTCTACATCAAGTTTAGTAGGACAGGTCGACTAGTTCGCTTGGGTTTTGAAATAAATAAATACCAGTTTGGATAAAACCCTTCTTGTGTCGTGTCTCTACATCAAGTTTAGTAGGACAGGTCGACTAGTTCGCTTGGGTTTTGAAATAAATAAATACCAGTTTGGAT